GTCTACAGTGCTGTGACATTGGAAACGATAAGATCTCAGCGTGATGCACAAACAAGCTGAAGCTGCATGTGTGTGTCTGCATGTGTGTGTCTTTTATGCGCGTGTGTGTTGGTGCGAGCGTGCACGTTTCCTTCACACCTCTCTTGCACTTCCAGGAGGTTTTATCGGAGCTGCGTGGGTCCTCACGGTCTAATGACATAAAGGCAAATGACAGCACAGCTACTCATCAGCCACTTAAATATGACACCTGACACCAAAAATATAGCATAATCACATCGAGGGTGCTTTAGACTGAAGCACCATAATGTGGAGCGTGAAGAGCTGCTTAAACACGAGGTTAAACACAAACCCTCCAAACAGGGATGTAACTGAGGATGTTTACTCCACACCTCGGCGCTGACACCACCGCAGCGTCAACAGACGACTTGATCTCCTCGCCGATAAAACTTTTCCACTATCACCTGATACCGGTGACCTGGAAACACTGCACGCTCATGACTCGTCTAATTTTACTGTATTCAAGTTATAATAAGCTACGTTTTTACATTATATCTGAGTGAATGTTTGGGGACTGTGTCACTCTGGAGGATTCAGGCTCTTAACTGAATTCTTCTTCATTGATTTGCTGTAAAGTTACTGCCTTCTACGAACACACACCATCACTGCAGGCATCTTAACTCATTTCAGTGGTCACCAGAACATAAAGTACATGTCATCAGTCAGATCTGATCTTAAAAACTCTGACCACCATCTCTGCTGTCACATGGTTCTTTGGGTGTCTGTGGTGATGCAGAGACGGTAAAAATAAATGAAAAGTGTTTAACAAACATTATTTAGATTAAAACTCCCATCTGACACCCTTTGACAAATCAGATGTTCAGATGCACTTTTTTAAAACTTATTTTAGCCTCAGCTCGTTGGCTGCAAGCCGCTTTGCAACCTCTCTGTCCTGCTCTGATCTCCACCTCTGACTCTGCACAGAGACGCAGACGTCCTGAATATAAAGTGCTACAGATGGAAAAAAAAATTCTCTGATCTGAGAAATATCGCAGATCTTCACATCTGTGTGGAGAGAGGTGAGATACAGTCACAGTCATGGAAGCTGTTAATGAGGAATCGAGCTCAGTGAGACTGCGACACGAGATCAGAATAAATCAGAAACAGAAGAAAAGCCCTCACCTTTCTCCTGAGTGTGTTGAAATCGAGAGTTTACAGATGGGTGCAGATTCTTTTTAGATTTCAGATACTTAACTCTGGGAATTATGGATGAAAAGTTTAACTGAAACTGTAAATGTGACAGAAAGAGCCAGAAAATCTACTTCTGATGAGATTATTCTGACTGAGCTTCCAAACAGGTGAAACTGCTTTTTGTCTTCGCTTTGACTAAAAAACACAAACTTCAGATGTGAATTCATCGGTTTTACCTGCAGCGCGATGGCGAGTCGAATGAGGTCGATGACCACTTCCTCGTTGGCCAGTTCGATGGTCAGAATGGCGAGGGTGGTGAAGAGCAGCTCAAAGTTTTTGTGGACGTTATCTTCCTCTTTGCAGCCCAGATAGATGTGACGGTAGAGCTGCTGGCCGTGCTTCAGGGTCGACGCAGGACCAGAAGCAAAGAAAGAAACAAAGGGGACAGAAATATGGGAACTGTTTAAAAAAATAAAAAATTATCTGAGAGCCACTCTGGCTGATTAAAACCTGTGTTCGTGTTTTATTCTCTTTCAGTGTTGGTGCTGTTTAACATAAGGAAACAGTGGAGGTGTCCGGGACTATTTTCAGTAGGTGATTAAACGATATGTGGGGAGTTTTAGTGGCAGTGGGGGGTAAATGTAAACTACAGCATGTGGGTTCACTTTAATGATGGTCCATGTTCTCCAGTGCAGACTCACTGATGTGGATGACAATAGAGTCACATGACTCAGGCTGCGTCACCCACACAGTCAGCAGGAGACGCAGACTCTGGACCATCAGGCAATCCGGTAGTTATGTCTGACGTCACTAGCCGTGTCTGGGCCTAAACTCCGCTGCAGGTCCATATATCAAACATCACTGTGGCATTACTGAGAGTTGAAAAACTGTCTAAAGTCTTTCATCTTTAATAAAATGATCAGCGTTCTGCTCTACCAGGTGTAACAATTGAGTTTAACATCCAGGCATCCATGAAAACAGAATTTATGACATTTGGAGTTAGAAGTTAGCAGGAAGTTAGCTCGCTAGCTTCTATCTAAATACAATATAGCATGTCCTGACTGCGGGGTTTTGGAAACAAATTAAAATGTACAGCTCTGTTATCACTTCCAACATAAATGAAGACAGAAAACTAAACAGCAGTGACGTTTGTAGGGTTACTGAAGTTTGGCTAGCTGGTATTTAATGATGTGCTACGCTACGTGACCGCTAGCGACACAGCTATGTTAGCATAATATAAACAAGCTAACTTTTTTTCCTCTCGATAAAAGTTAGCGTGAGTGTTCTCGGTGGTCAGGAACAAATGTAATCGCATGGCAGGATGCTGTAAAAGGACCAAACTTCAACCAGGAGAACAACTGAGATAATCCATCCACAATACGAGGTTAGTCATTCATATACTGCTGCATGGGCTGGGCTGTAGTTACATCCTAAGGTTTTAAAAACTGAGCTTAAATAAATGATTAGCGGTAATAAAAGCCGAGGGAGGTCAACAGTGATCACTGACTGTTTTAGGAGCTTTTTGAGATTAAATAGAAGAAAATACAAAACATTAAACATGTTAACAACACAAAAGCCATATTAAACGCAGACTACTTTAGGCCTGGATTCGTCACGTCATCACTTAACGACCGGATAACAGACGGCGAGCTGAGGACGGCGGGGGGATAGTACGTAACTATATTACAGGAGTTTAAGATTAATTCTGCAGTTATTGCTTAGCTTCAAATTTAATTTCTTTAAAGTAAAAATATCAACATTTCCTCTTTTCCGGCTGTAAAGATTCATTTTTATCTTCTGCGATATTAACCTGACATTTTTTATCAGATGGATGCAGACATTTACAGACGGTGCCTTGGGCTCTAAAAATGCATGACGGCGATTTTTAAGGACATTCTTTGACATTTTAATAAGCAGAACTTAATGGCTCTCAGTAAAAAAAACAACCAGCGGATTAAAGTCTTAATTAATCGCCCTGTTCTGAACATCTATCACAGCAGCTCCACTGCGGATGAATTAAAAAGTTATTGTCCCTGAAAATGCAAATGAAAACGCCAATGAAATGATTAAGCCCATTAAAATCTGGATAAAAATATCCCACCGCTGCTGGAGTGGGATTTATGATACAAATATAAAAGCAGGGCCTGGCTGCCTGCATTCGTTATAAGCTCGACAGCTGAAGATAAAAACTTTTATTTACAGCTAATTAATTACAGTTAGACACCGTCCTACAGCCGGAGGTCGTTCGCAGGGCTTCATTTTGGAAATGCCGCGTGCCGATGATGACCGAGGCTTCGCGCCCAGGTCAATAAGCTCCAAAGACCTCGCTTGGAAAAACACCTGCACTCTGATCATCTCCAGCTTCATGTTTTCACTACGGCTCAGCTGGAGCAGTTTTCCAAGATTCCCGGTTCAAAATAATCTCTCTGTCTGAAATAACCTGCTTTAGCTCCTCCCCCTACCTTCTGATTGGCATTGCAAATATTTGGACAGCAGATGAACGAGGCAGCTGCGCCCCTGTATTATTCTTATTCACAGAATGACCACCAGTATAACAGGTGACTC